CCTTTTACCCTTTTTTTAAAAAACTAAGTCGTATTTCTGCAAGGGTGATTTATCGTCGGCTTGCCGAAAAATTCTATGAAAAGACCAACAATTGAACATTTTCAAATTTTGCGACTTGCTCTTTGTGCACACGCACACTCTTTCGAGAAAGCAGTCGTGTGATATTATAAAAGGGTTTGGCCTGTTCATGTGCAAAATTGCTTTTTTCCATGCTTGTTGTAAGGGTACCTGAACGTTGGCATGTGTGCATGATAGCTGTTTGAGCCTGCCAAGCACACACATTTACATACTTGTGCGAGTTGGTTGCCTGCCAGCCTGGCCGATGCAAATTGACAAGATTTGAAGTTTTTGGCATTTCTGAATTTCAAGCTCTGCACACACACAAACACAAATGTGTGCGAATCAAGGGTTTGTCGTGAGGCAGAGATCATCAATGGGTGCTTTCTTTGTTTTTTTGGCATGCCTGCGGTGGGCTTGCGGCGGCAAAAGGCACAAATGTGTGAACCGTCAATGAAAACAGGTGAACCGCACTTGTCGCTCGCTTGCACTTTGACATGGATCCAGGCGCATGCTGGACATTCTGATCGTTAACTGCCGGTCATAAAACCCTTTAACCCAAAATTTTTACAATGTCAAAAAATACATAAAAAGATCACTTGCATTCTTATACACTGAACCCATTAGAAATGGGTAAAAAGGGTAAATTGTATTTGTGCTAATGTATGTAACAGACAGAAGGAAGCATCTCCAACCCCATAAAGTATATATATTTTTGATCAGCATCAATAGCCGAGTCGATCTAACCATGACCGTCCGTCCGTCCGTATGTATGAACGCAAGGATCTCAGAACCTATAAAAGCTAGAGACTTGAAATATTAGCTGTAGGCAAGCCCACCGCAGGCATGCCAAAAAATCAAAGAAATGCCAAAAACTTCAAATCTTGTCAATTTGCATCGGGCAGGCTGGCAGACAACCAACACGCACACAAACGCATAAATGCCTCTATCCATATAGAAAAGTATGTAAGTGTGTGTGCTTGGCAGGCTCAAAAAGTTATCATGCACACATGCCAACGTTCAGGTACCCTTACCCTTACCAGAAGTATGGAAAATAGCAATTTTGCACTTGAACAGGCCAAACCCTTTTAAAATATCACACGACTGCTTTCTCGAAAGAGTGTGCGTGTGCACAAATTGCAAGTCGCAAAATTTGAATATGTTCAATTTTTCGCCTTTTCTTAGAATTTTTCGACAAGCCGACGATGAATTACCCTTGCAGAAATACGACTTAATTTTTTTTTGATTTTAAGCAAAATAGATCTTACAATAAACAAAAAAAAATTAGAATATGAAATATAAATATTTCATTTCGGTCATTTACGTTTTTTTTTAAATAAAAATAGATCAGATTCTTCTCATTATGCCTGACTGGAACAAGAAATATATGATAGAGCATTTGAATGTGTGTGCCTTTTACTACCACAGGCACAAAGGGCGCACAATTGAAGAAAATACCTATGGCTCGCGACAAACGCTGTGATCTACTTGGGCGCACATCCACACAGCACAAACATATGTATGTTTGTAAATCGCGGGGGTTTTGAGAAGCTATGCAGGGAGAAAGAGATGCACACAAGCGCGCTAAGCAATGAGTGGGAACGAGGCAAACTCTGCACAGGCATACACACATATGTTCTTGGGCTGTCGGATTTTAAACTAATAGCCTCTGCCCACTGAACACATTTCTGAAAATGTCACATTTTTGCAAAATGTGTATAATGCGGCCTGTACGTTTCCCCATAAGAAAACACATTTCACACATTTTTAAAAATGTCACATTTTTAAAAATGTGTAAATTCGCCCCGAACATTTCGTGTATTTTGCGATGATTAATCGAGATTTCTATCGATGTTGTGAAAAATGTAAACATAAACCAGCTGATATTGCAACGAAGGTAACTTTAAATTATAATTTTAAATTTTAATAATCCCACAGTTTTTAACATTTAAAGTTGACCAAATCTCGCAAAGAGTCAGTTAAACGGAGCCCCTACTTCGGGGCCGTATTTTTTGACTTTTGGAAGGAAATCGTGCGGCGCTTATGTCAATTAAAGCAACTCGATCAGCTGTTTATTTAAAGAAACAGTACTTTTGCCACTCACATGTTACCGAAAACCGGTGGAACACCAATATGTAAAACTTGAAAATGTGACATTTTTAAGCCCAGTGGAGAAAGGCTATAACATACATATATTAAGAAATAGCATCAGCCGCAGCGACGTTGTGCGCTGAGCGAGATACGGTGGGGGCTGTTGGGGCTCCCTCGCTGACGATTTATCGGGATACGAGAATTTTGCTGTTTGACAATACCTATGCATTGTATGGCTAGTGTTTATAGTGACTTTTAAGACTTAATAGGTAATTTCTTTTAAATCTTTGGTGCTTATTTTTAATAAGGCATCTGAAATATGATTATCTTTCATATATATACATATGTGATAATCTTTACCCTTGAGATAAATAAATTTTTATTCCTCTAGTTTTCTGTTAATTTTATTCGTGTTAATTTTGATATTGGGTATACCATTGAGAATAGGTAAGTCAATGGTCTGTAACCCGTTTTTGCAAAAAAATTTTTGCCATTTACGTATGGACGTAAATGTCCAATTGCCCAGTGGATTGCTGTTAACTCTCGTTCTGTTGTCGATCTTGCACTGTCGCCTTTTGTTATATAATTGATCACCCAGAGACCCTAACCTACAAATTTGTAGCATGCCCCATTTAAGAACAAATGATGTCCGAAAACGGCAAAGAAAGGAGTCAACCCCGTCGCTGTGTGTATGGCATTGCGTATGGACACCTCTATTTCCGGAAGGTAGAGGTCCCACTCTCGTTGATCTTGCTCTAGATACGCCCGGATAGCCGACAACACGGTACGATTAACACGCTCGCTTGCATTGCTCTGTGGCGCAAAGACTTTAGTGCGCATATGCCAGATGCCGAAAGCTGAGATCATGTTTTGGAGCGTACCTGATATGAACTGTCGTCCGTTGTCAGAGTGAATGACCTCGGGTACTCCAAACTTATAGAAAACCTCGCTAACCAAAAATTCCGCTACATTAAGAGCCGTAGCCTCTCGCATCATTTTAAGAAAGTGAGTTTTGAAAAATGGTCGATTATCACGGAGATCCAAGCGTGCCCTTGCTTCGAACGTGGGTGCTTTCCGAGAAAGCCGATATCCAGTTTTTGGAATGGTCGCTCGGTCACTACCTCTTGTCCTAGCCCACTTGCATGCGGAAGTTCGGTGCCTTGGTTTCCTTGCATATCACGTACTGTGGGCCAGTAAAACTGCCGACGTAAGGTCTCCAGTGTTTTAACGACACCCCCAAGACCAGCCGTCTCCCCTACATAAGCCTTCGCAATTAAGCCAGCTGTCAAAGAGTTTAGCACCCACAGCTTCCGCACGGTGCCTTCTATCCATCCGCTTAAAAAGCAAACCCCCCTCAACGTTCAGGTCTGGCAGTTTGTCCTGATTCGAAATTACCTGATCAAGCAACGCCTGATATTCCGCTGACTCGAACTCGGAGATCTCAAATTTGAGAAGACCTCCTGGACCCTTGCTCACTGCCTCGACACTGCGCGATAGAGTATCGCTAAGCACTCTTTTTTAGTGACGGAATAGTTCCATTGGTGTTTGTTCAACTTGGCTGAAAAGAAGAAGGGCTTGAAAAAATCCGCGTTCACGAGCACTGTGGCCGTGGTCAGGGCGGTTCAACGGCTTGTGTTGCCTCGTCACCCAATACAAACTTTCCACTATCGTTTTTTAATATTTCGGTTAGTGGTGCGGCCATGGACTCGAAATCTCGCATAGAGCGCCTGAGCGAACTTCTTTGCGCGACCGAGGCACGGGGATTCGTTTAATAGCTATAACCGGCTCGGGGTCCATGCGAAGCGTGCCTCCGCCAATAATGAATCCTAGATATTTTAATGCCTGAAGCAAAATTTGGATTTGTGCAGTCTAATTGAGAGGTTCGCTTTCCTTAAGCATTTGCCCACTTGTCGAAGATATCGTGTTTGAAACTCTAAGGAATTGACTAATAAATCGTCCAAGTACCCAAAGACGTTGGACCGTAGCTCGTTGGGAATCACCTTGTCCATCAGACAAACCAGACTTTGGGTTGCATTGCATAAACCAAATGGCATAACGCGAAACTGGTATAATGGCCTACCTGGTACGGTACATGCAGTATAGGGCTTACTTTTTTCGTCTAGTTCGACCTGCCAATACGCGAACTTCATTTCGGCATTTGATTCAAAAACGGGTTTTACTCGGTCTTCCCACTACTGTTGTGCGATTACTCCATGGGCTGTTGCACTCTTCTATAACCCCCAAACTCAACATTTTGTCCACTTCATCATCCACTACTTTCTGCACCGCTAGCGATAACGGGTAGGATCTATCTATGAATGGTTGGGCGCCTTCCACTAAGTCGATAGTGTGCTTCTCTAAGTCAGTCGTTCCTAATCTGCTACGTTCAAAAGAGAAAAACTCTCGCTTTACCGCCTCCAACTTTATCCTTTCTTCCCTAGACAACTCCCTTGAATCTGGCTCACTTTCGAGTTATTCCTCTTCTTCCGCTTGGTATTCCGTGGAGATTAGCTTCTCGGGGCACAAAATGTCTGAGGCTAGGTTAAATGCTCGCCAGAAATCAATCCCAAAATAGGCTCGCTGTTTCAGGTAGGGGCAGATAAAAAAAGTTATTTACCTATTTTTTAGATTACCTATAATCGATTTATCCTCTCCTCCAGCGGTTGTTAATACCGAAACGTAAGGTTGCACCGTAACCCCCAATTCTTCGACTAATTCTCGACTTCCTTTTTCCAGCAGACTGACAGAAGCTCCTGTGTCTAGCAACCCTCTCATTTTGATCCCAGTGACCTCCACCTACGGTCTATGCTATCCTCCCCTTTCACAGCTTCAATGATCTGGCGCCTCATAATCCTGCGTCTGCGTCAGGCGAACGAGCCTTCACCACTCTAAGGTTGGCCAGCGTCATCCCATCTAGCTGTCGCTCACCAAAAATTCTATTTCGGGACGCCCGAACACGTTCTTCATATGGTAAGCCCCTTAATGTCATATCTTTATTCATAGCCTTATCCTGGTCCTTATGGTCTATATTCTTCTCCTTTTCAACTACTACCCGCCTTTCAGCGGTCGCCGTCCCCGAAGGCGTATGTTCCGCCATCATCGCGCTCTCTCTGGGGTTTCCCGGACAATTTTCGCACTTTGAGCAGAATGTGTCCGCTCTTTGGACAGGCAGTCATGTGAGTACATCCATAGCATAGATATATTTTGCCAGACTCTCCTTCAAACCTTTATAATCTTCACCAGCTCGCGGTCTCTCAGCGGTTTCTGACGCGGTAAGCTGACGCATGTGGTGGACCTTCGCTGGTATGTTGCTCTCGCTGTAGTAGCTCCTACATTACATCATGCTCCGTCTGATAGCCCCGGAACCTGTCTAAGAGAACGTATGTAGTTGCATCCAGCTGTCGACCCTAGAATGCCGCAAATGCATCCAATACCACTCGCGGGCACGTCGGGTCAGGAGCAGGTGAAAACCGCGCAGGACCTCCTTCCACGGGCGTTGATATTGCCTATGCAGGAACTCCAGCCGACACACGAAGTCCTCTACAGAATGCATGGCGTCCTCGCCATCGAACTTGACGTTTCACCGCTCGACCTTCAGGTACGCCGTTCCTTGTAAGTTAGCATATGCTTCCTCCGGCTGAAAGTCATCCGCTCTCAGGTCCTCTACTCGGTAGTGGCGATTAATCGGATTACGCCAGTTCCTCGCCTGAGTATCTGCAACGTATACTGGGCTGCTGGAGGAGTACTCCGCTCCTAGCTTGCTTTGCCTGTGTGGCTTCGGGGGCAACGGCGGTGGAAATGCCTCGCGCTGGAGCACTTCTCGCTGATGCCAGATGGCAGGGCATGCTGATGCGTCAGGTGTGCCTGAGCTATCGCCGCGTTCGCTGCCGATGTGAGCACCGAGTCCTTCGTCGGTTTTGGGAACTCCAGATTTCGTAGAGGTAGATCTTGTTGTGCCAATTCCTTCTCTAAGTCTACCAGAGAACCCACCGCCGTGATTTGTCTCTTAGGAAATCGCTGGAAATTTATGGGCGTTCTCGCTAGACCTCCCGCCGAACGTGGCGGTGGCAGTGCCGCCGCTCCGTCAGCTTCGGAACCCCAATGGGACACCTGTTCCTCAGCCATACTTATCCCTTATGAAAACTGCACCCCTCTCTTATATAGGGCTTACTACCCAAAAAAAGAATTTACAAATAATCCCTATTAAATAAATAAATAAATAAACACCCACTTACAAATTTTGCTAGTAATGAATAATAAAAAAATACACTTCGGCCGCATAAGTAACTCACAAAAATAATTTATTTATGTGATTTTTTTCAATTTCATATACTTTGGGGGAAAGAAGACCAATCCTAACACAGGCTAACTTGTCTACGCGTAATCTGGACAGTGGACAGCACCTTGAAGTTTATTTGACTTCTTTCGCGCTTCTGGGCACCTTTAGGGCATGCTGTGTGACCGGTGCGGCGCAGGATCGAATCTATATCGTCCTGGGTCACCGGGATCTGAAGCTCACCTAATTACGGCCAGCATACCCCAAACGTAAACACAGAGTGAGACAAAACAAATAGTAAACAATAAACAAAATCTAACACAATCTACCTTCCTATCTACTTAACACTCTGTATATCTAGCATACAGTTCTTTACTTTACTTTATTAACAATCTTTTTACTTTCTTTTCTCCTATTTATGATATATTCTTAAATAATATAGCAAATTAAGATTAGTTTTAATTTTACTTAAGAGCACTTTTTCCTACTTACACCCTTCTTCTTAGATGTAGGCTCTAATAGCGTCACTGACAAAATTAGCTGTGAAAAGGGGCACAGCTGGCCGGACTGGCAAATAAAACACCTCCATCGGTCGGTGATGCTATTAGAAATTTGTGTTCTCTATCTAGGCTTTTAGCATCTAAATTTCATAATTGTAAATATAATGTATTGAATAATTAGGAAGACACTCGTTTTGCCGACCACTAATAAATAAATAAATAAATAAAAAAATAAATTAATACCACATTTTTTTATCATGAGATGCCTTTGTCATTGCGGCTACCACCAGGCTATAATAAACGGTCGCAAACATTTCGCCAACATGCGAACGTGACTTACCGCATCTACAAGAAAAGCTTCTAATTTTTATGGATATTCTGATATTCGCCACTTGCGTCATGCTTCTCGGATTCCACTACACGCTGCGCGATTACGGGCCACCAACTCGTGCCACATGACTTCAGTGGTGTGGATCCAAAAGCAACAACAAAGCTACAACTTCTGTACAAAGCACTACGCAAAACGAACCACAAAACCGATAACATCAAGCAGTTGGAACTTTTAACTCATAAACAGCTGTAACAACCAGAAAATGTAAACAACAAATATAAATTATCAAAAAAAAATACTATTTATCCACTTTACTCTTCCAGATCGGGCCCCGGTTCCCGCGTACCCGCCCTACCTGAGACGATCTCCTGATCTTGTCTCCCACATTTGGCCACTAGATGGACTGCATCAGCCCGTGTCGGCTGTTATGTCCGGTCTCCCCATCAAGTTAAACTTAGCCGGACATTCTTTTCCTTCAATATGTGCGTATAATTGGTTGCATTCCTTATAATTATTAACAATTAATTTTTCTTATTTCCTTCTATTTTACAATGTATCTCCATTCAGTTATTTATCATTCTATGCCAGCTGACTTTCCATAACCTTCAACAGGTGTGTATTCTCTTTGCATTATTTTATAATTTTAGACAATTGATAAAAATTTCTAATTGCAGTTTTTCTTAGCAGGGTATCTTCACTCGGCGATTTATAATTTGATACCATCGAACATTTCTTCTCAGCTCCAGCAGGTGCGTATAATTATTGTGTTCTCTTATTGTTATGGAAAATTTTGATTTTTTTCAGAGCTCATTGGCTTAACAAAACTTTTTTACTGAACAGACGACGAAAATACGGCCAGAGGTTATTGCCAGTGGACGCAAAAAAAAACAAGAAAGCAACTACGAGGCAATCGTTATACCGATTTAGGAACAGTGTACCGACGAAAATACTCATAACCGGGTATGTCACGATAATCAGTCGTGCAGCAGGTAGGTGATATATATTAAATCGCTTAATTCTACCTTACCCTACCTAATGAGCTCTCTGGGGGTGGTAAGGGGCGATAGAAAGGGGTAATTCAAGTTAGGTATGTATGTGAGTATTGTTCGCGCATGTACCAAATTTTAAAGTCTTATATTTTATAGGCTCATTTTCATAACCTTTGGAGTTTTCCCTCACTGTTCGCATGTATATATATATATATTTTACAAACAAAAAAACTAAATTTAACAACTACAAAAAATCTGCTCTCATTCCAGGAGCACAATCAGGAGTATACGTCTGGGTGTGCCATTTCTCGGGCGAGGAGGGGCGAAATGGAACTGACTCACTCGGAGGATGTGGGCATAGTCTCGCCTGTGGCCGATTTGGGGTCCCTTCGTTGTCGGAACCGGGGGTCGTTTTTATTCATTAAGTGTCTTAGGGTTTTTATGAGTTCGTCACGTGTCGCGCTTAAGTTGTAAGTCTTTGTAATTTTTGTATATATGGTGACCCAAATGGTTGAATCCACGTTTTCTTATTAAATTGCATAAACAAAAAAAGTTTTTATTTGTTATTTTTTGGTTGGTACGCGCCGGCTGGAAAAACTTTTCTCGAATATTTATAGCCTACATGCAAAAAGAATAACTTAAAATCGCTTCGAGCCGGCGCTCCCGCCGTTGACCGCTGACAAAACTAAACTCCTCGCTGTACCTTTGGCAGCAACATCATAAGTGCCGAAATTCGGCACACGCATACATTTACGAGGCGGGCACTGAGGCATGCATAGCTCCATTTTTTGGGTCAGCGGCCCAAACGAAGGCCAAGGGCATAACCAAGGGCACGCGAATCTGGCGGCCAAAAGCAATCGCTCCTTTTGGCGCCGTGGATCGCAAGCCCGGCGTTGCCACTCTTCAATAAATTGGGCGCCGCTATGGGCCCAGCTTCACCCCCCCATACACTGAGCCCATAACAAAAGATATTGGCGTAGCCGATAACAAAGAACGTACCCAACTAGGCAAACTATCGATGCTGCCGATAACGTCAAATGCAATAATACATGTCTTTTAGTCTCAACTTTTGTTTACTAAAATTATTTGTTGAAATTATTTCTGATTATATTCCAAAAATGTCACTAATTACATTATAATCATTTATATATTCATATATATTATAATCATTTTATGGTAATAGATTGTAGTTATTGAATTGCCGAAAATAGTCGAGTGTTCTATCTTGCTTTGATCTGATTTAATGAATATTGTTTGTTTTTTTGATAAATTTATTAGCTTTTCAATTTATTGAATAAGGTCACTACTGTCTTCATCTGCACTATGTTGGGTGGCTTCACCGAAATGATTTTCTTCCAGTTTAATTGTTTGCCTTTAATATATTCAATTTTAAAATCAAATTTGGCCAATTTAATTTTCCACCTTTGTAATTATGCATTTGGTTCTTTTAAAGTATGCAACCACCTGAGGAGTTGATGGTTACTGGCTATCTGGAAATGTCTTCCAAGTAAGTAATGGCAAGTAATTCCTGAATGATACGGGATGACCATTTTGTGAAAGGACATCCCTAAGGGCTAAATTACTGTGGTAAATACGAACTTTTTTCCGAAATCAGGATGTTTGAAGATTGGTTCACTTTTTATTAAAGCTATAAGACTCTCGAATGCCTGTACATAATAGTTGTTTTTTGTGTCTAATTTAGCTCATTTTTCAAATAACGTGTTTTGGGTTTTGCCACATCAGCGTAATTTGAGATGAATTTACGATATCCAAGGAATGCTCTAATCTCCTTTTTTATATTGTTGGAATTGGTTATGAAACTATGGCTTTAACTTTGAGAGGATTTGATTTTATTCCATCGGGAGTCACGAGATAACCAAGGAAGTTTGCTTCTCTTTTCAAAAAATCGCACTTGTCTAATTGCAATTTTAAATTGGCTTCAGTCATTTTTTTTTTTTAACTATTTGTAATGAGTAAATTTGCATCGAGAGATGTAGAAAATACAATTATATCGTCTAGGTAAACTAGACAATATTTATTAAGCAGTGGTCGAAATATGTTGTTCCGACATCTTTAACCAAATGGCGAACGTATTCGTAATGACCATTCTTGGTAGAAAATTCAGTTTGTGGTATGGATTCCGGATCCATTTCTATATGATGAAAGCCTTTCGCCAAATCGATTGTTGTAAAATACTGACATCTTCCGAATTTACCGAGTATTTCTTCCATGTTGACTACGGGATATCTGTTCGGTACGTTTACTTCATTTAGTTTTCTGTAATCAATGACCACACTCCGTATTTTATTTTACCAGAAGCGTCAGGTTTCTTAGGAACAGCCCAAGTGGGGCTATTATAGGGTGAATGGCTTTCTCTAATTAACTTTGTACAAGCATTTCCTGTACCTGTCTCTCAACCTTTATTTGAGCATATGGACATTATTTTTAATAAATGGGGCAGTTATGTGTTGTATTTAGTACGTGCTTAAGTAAGTTTGTAAAGGTTAAATGATTCACGAATAATTTTTTTAGTTTAGAGCTTTCCTCTTGGTTGAGTTGATCCAATTAAATTATTCAAGATTTACATTTTTACTCGGTATGCAAAGGTTGATCTTCTTCTGGACCTGAATTAATCAACTGGAATGTTCTGTCGAAAAGTGTAACTGTGCGACTTTTGTAATTTATAATGCAGTTTATGCAGTTTGAGCAATCTTCTGCCAATTAACATGCCGTAATCGTTAGAGAAATTAGGAAAATAGAATTGTTGAGGACTTTTGATTATGTTATTACTGGGTAAGATAACTTATTTATTTATTGTTATGGGACCATTTTATGTAAGATCATAACATTTTGTATTCTGAATTGGAAGGGAAAAAATATTTTCTCGCGTCATGTTAATTGTAGATCCTTAGTCAAATGTCAATCAGGCATTTGTATTTATGACCCTTGTGTGCTATTTCTTGATACTGGTATTGTCCAAGGCTGTTAACGGAAAATTTACGTTGAATTATAAGTCATTTGGATTTTGTTCAGCAGGTGTATTTATCTTGGTCAACCTGGTCTTGGTACTGATTGTAATCATAGTTCATACATCTGTTGTTCGTAGTTCTCTTCGTTGTGATTGTATTCTTGAGCATTCTGCGGTCTCACCTCGTCAATTGACATTTTGGTTTTTTTTTTTTTTTACGCGAATCCCGATGCAACGTACTGCATTCCACCTCCCACCTAACCGAGAGAGTCGTATAACGTACGACACGAAATGCAAAGTAAATATGAAAAAAAAGTAAATATAATAAAAAATAAACGATACAAACTACGAGTATGTGTACAAATACAATTACA